GAACCATGTGCTGGTGTGGCAGCCTGTGCTTGCAATCCCAATGCAAGAGGAGACACAGATCCCTGGAGCTCTGTAGCTGGCTAACTTACTCTAAGCCAGCCTAGCCAATGAGCACTAGGTTACAGTGAAGGGACTCTACCTCAAAAACAAAGCTGGACAAGTCCTAAAGAACTACACCCAAGGTCAACCACTGGCCACTTCATTCGTGAGCATGTGCACACATGTACCTCCTCCCAGCACAAAAGGCAGCCACACACAGGGGTTAGGGGAATTCTACATCAGAGATGTAAATACTCACTGAGCACAGGGGTCTTAGATCCATCCCCCTGAGCAGGAGCTGGACTTGAGGACAGAATAATGCTTGAAAAGAGGAAAAAAGAAAAAAAGAAAAAAACAAAAACAAAACCCCAGTGTCTTTACAGTGGAAAAAATGTGACAGCTATCACGTAAGCCAACTGACCGAGAGTGAGGTTAAAATAAGCAAAAGGGCCTTTATCAAGGGTTACTTTGGTAATATAAAATTAAATGTCAATGACAACAGAGCTAACATATATTTATTTATGTTTGGGGCAGGTTCTCACATTGTAGCTCTGGCTGAACTGGACCTTGCTATTATATAGACTATGCCTCCAACTAACAGTGATCTTCCTGCCTCTGCCTCCCAAGTGCTGGGATTAGAGGTGTTCACTATTAGTCCTGGGAAGATTTTTAAAAAATTATTATTATGGGTGCTCATATATGCATCTTTTCCATGAGTATTTGTGTGTCTTCAGAGGCCAGAAGAGGATGTTAGATGCCCAACTGGAGATACGGGCAGTTGGGAACTGGCTGATATGGGGGCTAAGAACTGAACTCGCCAGGGTGCAGTCTCAGCTTGGGTTCAGGTCCTGAGACAGGGAAAGGGGGTTGGCACAAGGAAGAACTCTGTCCACCAGGTGGATTGCACTCAAGTGGCCCCAAATAGCTCCAGCCATCTTTATTTATACTTAAACAGTTTTTTTTTTCCTACCGAGCTTACATGACTAACTTTATTATTGGCTCCTATTTTTGACTTTTAAAAAATACATAATAATCATTATAAAAGCCCCCATTGTTCCCCTTTATACTTCCCCAAATACACTTTCCCACCCCATACATGACCTTATTTTAGACATCGATTTCATTTTTTGCAGGCTTAACCAAATGTCGAGCCAGGCCCATCTTGCTCTTGTAGCATTTATGTCAGCTGGCAGCAGCTTGTGCTTATAAAGTTTAAAAAGTAATTAGCATGGGTATAATGCCTCAAGGCCTACAGTGTTCAAATCCAGATAACTCTTTCATGTCTGCAAGATATGCTTTACTACGGTTCCCTTTTCTACAAGAGGGTCCCGTGTCTCAATCTCTATAAAGGCTGACTTTGATGAGGCAATCTTTTCCCATCCCACCACACCATAATTACCCCACCATTATAAGCTCCTGTAAAGATGGAGCTATCCATCCCACATTTTGCATTGCATTTCCCCCTCTTGGAGCATACCAGATCCTACCATTGATTCTATATTTTTGGTGTCCAGGGAACTTGCTCTCAACAGTTGGCACTATGTGAACTCTTGAGGATTTCTCCCTATTCTGTGTATGCATGCCTTACTCTCCTTCCCAGAACTGTGAGACATGGTTAATGTTCCAAGGGTTGTTTTCTCATATGTACCTAACTGTCTCTACTGAGCCAGAAAAGTTTGCAGGATTAGGAGTTGTAGTTAGTAATTCCTGACAACAAATTTGATAAACATTAGTCCCCCTGTTGATTCTAAGGGAAAAAATATTGCGAAGGCACAGTATTTCTGGGGGGAAATTACAGTTGTTGCATTCATGATTGACAAAATGAAATTAAAAATTGCCAAAGGAATCAACAATAAAACGAGAGAGAAAAGAGCCTGCAAGCTGCATGAATTCAGCAAAATCCTGCCCTGTGGTCCACTGGTTCTTGCCAAGTGAGAGACCATCCCCAGCAGCCTTACCTCGAGGAGAGGCATTGGGCAGGCATCAGCTGATCTGAGACTAGGTTACACAGCTCCTGACATGAACTGCTATCCTCTAGAAGAGCAGCAAGCACTTTTAACCACTGAGCCATCTCTCCAGTCCATAAGCCCCCCCTTTTAAAATCATCTTCTTCAATTCTTTCACTGCAGAGCTACAAGAACCCAGAGCTTTGAACATGAGTGTTCTCCTACTGAACCACACCCCAGCCCTAGTTCCTCCCCCTCCAGTTCTGTTTGGATAAGTGAAAGTCATTTTCAATCAAGTTTGGAGCACCTAGACTTTGGCATATCACTGATGAATCTTACCCTGTTTCCCTAACCCCCACTCCAACACAGCCAAATGCTGGATGGGTGAGGGTTGGAACATTCAATAAGTGAAACCCAGAATGCTGTTAAATACCTTGCATCGACCCCTCACAATGCAGTATCTTTACTTCCTCTTTGCCTTACACTCATTTTTATATGTGATGGCCGCTAACTACAAATCTCCCATTATGAATGGAACCTTCTTACCAACCATTACAATAGCATCACCCTTCATTGGCTTAAAAGAAACCAACAAGCACCGTCGTACACACCTTCAATCCCAGCACCGAGGAGGCAGAGGCAGGTGGATCTCTGCATTCCAGGTCATTCTGGTCAACAAAATGAATTCCAAGACAGCCAGGGCTACAGTTCTTGTCATTCACGTGCTGGTGAAAGCAGGACTTGAAACATTTGCAAGCATTCACCCTTGACCAGTAGATGGCACCCTCCTCCCTTAGACTACATGAGTTATGAATGAACTCTTCCTAACCCCAGAACAAGAACCATAGTAATGAATCCTAGTCAACCCTAATTCCTGCCCAGATTGTTTATATTCCTCCTCTCTTCTTCATTCCCTGTCTAGTCCATATGTTCCCATATGTTTCCTGTAGTCACCTCTGGTATTGTGTTCTAAACAATTCAGCCTAATCAGCACCGTTTGCTGTAACACTCACAGTCAATGCTTGCCTTTAAAATGATGCCACAAGGCCTGGGATGGAACATCTGAGAAGGCAATGGGATGAGCAGAAGAATCAAAGTAGAAAAGTGAGCCGGGCGTTGGTGGCGCATGCCTTTAGTCCCTGCACTCCGGAGGCAGAGGCAGGCAGATCTCTGTGAGTTCAAAGCCATCTTGGTCTACAGAGCAAACCCTAGGAGAGGCTCCAAAGCAATACAGAGAAACTCTGTCTCAAAAAACCAACAAAACAAAAAAGGCAGAAGAGTGGAGGTCTTCTGCAGCCCTCAGGGTTAGGAAGTACTAGTGGGCTGACATGGGAGAGCAGCCTCAGAGCCTGGACCCTCCCGCCATCACCAAAAAAGGCTTTCAAGGTGCTAGCATTAGAGCTGTGCTTGCTCACTATTAGGACGACCAGGCAATAGAGAAGGTGATGAAGAGGGAAAAGAGAATCCAGTGGGGAAAGTCATCTTGCATCAGGAGGTGGGAGAGAATAGTCAGCCAGCAGCGACTGGGTCCCTTGCCTGTTGATTCGACCCCCCACACCCAGATCAAAAACACACAGAAAGCACTACTGTACTGAACACATGCAGATGTTTCCCTGTCGTTATTCTCTGAACAATGCAGTATAACAACTTTTTACATAGCATGTGCATGGCATGAGATAGTATAAGTAGTCTAGAGATAATTTAAAATACATGGGGGGGTCTGTGTAGGATATGCCACTGCAAAGGTGATTAAGTGCCACTAAGGAAAAAGAAAAACATTTTTTTTTTTTTTTTTGGTCTCACTGGCTTCCATTGTGTCATTATTCAACACTACCTCAAAGGGTGGTGATGGCCCAAATGTTAATTTCAGCCCTTGGAAGGCAAAGGCAGGTAGAGCTCTATCTTCTGAAGCCAGCCTGGTTTATAGAGTGAGTCCCAGGACAGCCAGGACTACACAGAGAAACCATCTTCTAAAAACCAAAAACAAATTCTCCACCTTAAGGAATTTGGTTTAGCTTTAATTAATTAGCTGCTGTAAATGTTCCTGGGCCAACTTTGGGAAAGCATTTATCTAGAAAATAAGTTTGTTGTTGGGCATTGGTGGCACACACCTTTAATCCTAGCACTCCAGAGGCAGGTGGATCTCTGAGTTCGAGGCCAGCCTGGTCTACAGAGTGAGTTCCAGGACAGCCTCCAAAGCTATAGAGAAACCCTGTCTCAGAAAAAAACAAAACAAAAAACAAACAAAAAATAGGTTTGTTTATTTACTTTTTATTTTATTTAAGGTTTTTTGAGGCAGGTTTCTCTGCCTCACACACACACACACACACACACACACACACACACACACACATATATAGCTATGTATATGTATTCAAGAACCAGTGATGCTTACAGATTATTCTCCTACATGCAGTGGGTGCATATTTTTCATTTTTAGAAAAAAAAAAGCTTAAAAAAATGAATACCAGACAAATGAAAACCAGACCTCAGCAGCTTTACGCTGCTTCCTGAGTAACTGAAGAATGTGCTTCTTGGGGTTAAAATGTGAGATCTGTTAAATATGGATGAAATACCAACACCCCAGGCATTTTTATTGGCATTTCACTCTGACTTTTTGAACTTAGGAGTGCTGACATGAAAACCTGTTCTTTCTGCTCTGGGAAGCCTGCAGAGCCAGGGCACAAGAGGTAACAGGCGATGACAGGGTGCTCTCTCTCTCTCTCTCTCTCTCTCTCTCTCTCTCTCTCTCTCTCTCTCTCTCTCTCTTCGGAAAACACATTTCTCAAAACCATCACTTCTCTTGCTTACCCTATCAGAGAAAAACGTTCCCAGTGGGCATTTATGAAGACCCCCGCCCCCAAAGTCAGGAGACACTTGTGCACTTTGGAAACAGAGCGTTTCCAGAGTGACTAAGCAGAGAGCCCCATGGCACCCAGGGTACATTTGAAAACAGAACTCAGTGTTTTAACAGTCCAGGATAGCCCCTCTTTGCGATCCTCCCCGGCACTCGCTGCTCTGGGTTCCGGGACAGCCCTGGCGTCTGGCAGGGAGAGACATGCTGTTTTGTTTAAATCCTCCACATTCTTTGCCATTTCCCCATTGGCCGGATGGGGCTACCCTCCCCGCCGCGGCCGCTGCTGATGTCAGCCTGGTCGCGCTCGCTCCTCCCGCACCCACCTCCCGGCCCCAGGCACACTGCAGCTCGGCGCGGTCTCCAGACGCGGCGAGGTAGCTGCAAACTCACGGGCACGCACAGCGCTCGCAGAGCCGAGGGACTCGGGGGAGGGGACGCGCGCAAGGCGCTGGCAGCCACCCTCCGAGGTTGGAGACACCCGGGGCCCAGAGCAGGGAGAGCCCTGGCGGCCGCGGCTTCCCTTTTCTCTCCCAGCTAAGCTCTGGGGAGACTCGGGGACTGGCCCTAAAAAAGAGCAGGAAATCTTGTTTACCGCCCGGAGAGACGAGACCAGCAAGCCTTTGTTTGGAAAGTCAGCATCGCCGGCTCGGGCGGCAATGTGTTCCTGGTGACATTAGCCCAGGGTAGACGGGTCGGAGGAAAAGGGGCTCACAAGGTTCAGCTCTGCTTTCGGACGAGGATCGAGAGGGTGACTTTTGTGCATTTGTTTGAATTTGTAGAAATCTTTTTTTTTTCCCCCTCCCTCTTGCCTCTTTTGCCCGCCGCCGGGTATGTCCTGATCTGGTGGCCGCGCCTACCAGCCCCGGGCTGCCGATCCGAGCTATCTCCCTCCGGTCTCCCTTTCCTCAGTCCCTGACTTTGCAATACCGGGAGAGCTGATCTCCGTGAGGAAGGAGGCGGGGGAGTCACAGACACCGGGACTCGAAGCTTGACATGCTCCGGGGCGGACCGGAGGCAGCCAGGAGCTGAGCGCACCGCCGGGGCTGCTTCGCTCACCGGCTCCCAGTGTCCTCGCCTTCCGCTGGGCGCCAACCTTGCTCATCTGTTGGGACGCCCCCTTCTTTCCCGCGGTCCGCGGCCGGCAGGACCATGCTGTTGAAGGAGTACCGAATCTGCATGCCGCTCACCGTGGACGAGGTAGGCACCGCGCCGGGCCTCGCCCGCCCCTGTCTCCAGCCGCCACCACACGGCCGGCGTGTCCACGGCGTGCGGCTGGGAAACCCGGGTGCTACCCTGGCGCCCAAACCTGGAGGCTGGAGGGGAGGAGGCAGGGAATTCGCCGTTCCCACTCTTCACCCGGGCGGGAGAAAGGTGGCGTGGGGGTGGGGCGGGGCAGTCCAGGTGGGCTCTTCAGGGACATCTAGATTCAGATTACTGGGGACCACAATGCGTCACAGGGAGCTGCTGCGCCCCCTCCCTCCAATTAAGCAAATGCACAGAAAGAGTCCAGCAAGAGCCCAAAGCATGCTTTGAGGCCGGGGTGTCGAGGGCACCCCGCCGTGGCGGTATCCACAATCCTCATGTCCCTTTTACAAGGTGGGTTTGCAAGGATAAACCCCGCGCGAGTGGGATCTGCCCACTAGGGTCCCGCCCGGGGGCACGTCGAAGGCCTGGAGGGGTCCGTCTAGAACCCCAACTTCTCCTTGTCGCCTCCGGTCTGGGCGCTGGTTCCTGCCCAGCCGGAGCATCCAGGCTTCCTCCGGGACCTGGCTTGTCCTTTGCTGACCGCCTGGCTCGGAAACTTTCTGCTTGTCTCCTTCCTTCTACGTCGGGGAGCGTGGTCTGGGGAAGAGCCCCAGTGGTGGGGCCTGCGGCGTGGCCACCGGAGGGCGCTCCAGCACGCCGGGCCCCGCTCTGAGTGTCGGGGCTGCAGGGTGGGGGGCTCCCCGCTCAAGGGCTCGGCCTGCACGCGCAGGTCAGCTTGCATTCTTCCGACTCTCTCCCCCCTCCCCCCAACAGTGAGCTCCGCCATTCAGGAAACGGTGACTCAGTAAGGGTCACTCTGGCCCGGGCTTTCCTTTCGTTCCCCTTTCTCCTCTCCACCTTTTTGGGTATTTCTCAAGTGCTTTGCGTCTGTCCAGGGACTCACAGCGAGAACATGAAGCCACCAAGGCAATTTGAAACAGACTCGTGTGGTTTGGTGTGGCAACAAATGAAATCAGCGATCCGCATGTGTTTGTATTTAAAACCAGTGCATTTAATCTAACAGACATGTGATCCACTCACTACTTTGTGAAAGGGGCCCTGTGCTTTTGTGTAACTCTGTCTATGGCTGGCTCCCCGAGGGGGCGAGCAATCTTCCTTTGGCATCTGGCGCCAGTGTTAAGGTGAGACCCTAGGACAATCCAAGGCAAGATCAAAGTAGCCTGAAGTTTAAAAAACGACACTGGCTGCCAAAGAGTAAGGGAGAGTTCGGCCATTCTCCCCTCCTCCCCACAGCCTTATCAACAAGCTTTGGAGTTTGCATGCATTTCACGGGTGGCAGCAGTTAGAGCTGGGTCTTAAACAGTGGAAGCCAGGTGGTTGGGTGCCTCAACCTTTTTAATGGAGAAGCAGCACACAGCTTTGTGGAGAATGAAGAAAGGCAAATGAATGGGACTGAACACACACACACACACACACACACACACACACACACACCCTCACACCCTTGATGGTGCTGCATGAACAGGCTGTCTTCTGCCTCCTTGGGCAGTGGTGAGACTTCGAGAAAGAAATGTATAAAGACTGTCAGATAATCAAGAAAAGAGCCAACTCTTTATATATTAAGACAGTGTTCCTCTATGTAGTCCTGGCTGTCCTGGAACTCACTATCTATCTAGACCAAACTGGCCTAAAACTCCCAAAGATCTGCAATTAAAGGTGCATGTCACCCTACCCAGCCTTTCTTTCTTGCTAACATACATCTCTTTATCTTGGTTGGTGTTCATCTGGTGTTTTCTTAAGTTAAGCATTTCCCTCCACATTTGTTTGTTCAATGTTAGTATTCAGTGAATTAACTATGCTTGATTGGTATAGGTGGATGTCCCTTCCTTCCTTCCTTCCTTCCTTCCTTCCTTCCTTCCTTCCTTCCTCTGTAAATTAGGCTGACTTCAAGACTCAGAGATCCGCCTGACTTGGCCTCTCAAGTGCTGGATTAAAGGCGTGCACTGCCACACCTGGCTAGAATGCCCTTTCTTAATTGGCCAAGGAAGCTAGACTCTACCTGTAGGGTAATTATAAATTATTTAATGTGTAACTCATTTAGACTAAAGTAAATATGATTCAGTTTCTATAAGGTCATATTTTGATTTGTAATTTTTATTTTATTCCCTTTGTGGTACTGGGGATTGAACATGACCTTGAGGCATCCTGCTTCTGAGCTTCATCCCCAGTCTGAGGTCATGTTTTGGAATTTTTCTCTATTTTGTCGGCGATGCAAATGGGGGCAGCTTTAGATAGGAAGTCTCAAAAAGGAAGAATTCGGATTAGCCAAGTCAGGTGATTGGTAAGGGAAGTAGATTTAGCTGGCCAGATGTCAGACACTTGAGTCCTAACTGGTGGAGTACCCCACACTCTCTACCATCCCATGATGGGGCCCCACTGACCTTAACACTCAGCCCTGTGGAGGAACTTGAGTGTCAGGCTGCAGAAGATGGTTACTGCAAACCAAATACTCTCTCGTGGCTAAACTTTTGCTTCAACTTCTGCCTCCTTTGGACCTGATGCAACCTGTGTGGACCTTCTGTTTCTTGTTCCTGATTAACTTCTGTTAATTAGTAGCACTTGCTAGGGGTTTGCCAAGGAAGCAAATGCCTGGGTTTTGGAGAATCAGTGTCTTGTCTCTGTCCCCTTTCCTTAGTCCCTGTCCCTGCTTGACCTCGGGCCTCTGGTGGAGAGTTAGGACTTACTAGGTGTAGGTGCGGTAGCTGGTGCCAGCATGTGGGAGATGGAGGCAAGAGGCTGAAGTGTTTTTGGAGAATTCAAAGTAATTGTCAGCTTTATAAGAAGTTTGAAGTCAGTGATGAAACTCTGTCCCTGCCCCAACCCCCAAATGCTGGTGTTCCAGGCCCAACCACTAGGTAATATCGGATTGAGTGGGAACGTGCTGGTATTGTCATTGTTTTTCCTTACCCTGCTCTTTGCAGTGTTTAATCCAGGAAAAGGAAAATCATTTCTTGAAAACATAAAGTCAACATTATCATCGAAATAAAAAGTCAGGGGCCTTTGAAATGTTACAGATAGTATTGACTTCTACTCGATGATGTCCAGTCTTACTTTAACACATAAAATGTTCCCCAGTTTCAGGAAAGAGAACAGCTCTGAAAGACAGAAAAGAGAGCCAAGCTCTGGCCTAGAGCAGTGTTAATGGTGTTTGTGTGTATTTCAGTGGAAGAAGGCTGGTCTAGCAAGATTGAAACTCTGGGCTTGTCCCCAGTATTACACACACACACACACACACACACACACACACAGAGAGAGAGAGAGAGAGAGAGAGAGAGAGAGAGAGAGAGAGAGAGAGAGAGAGGCAGACAGAGGAATTTAAGAAGTAAAATTCCATGGATTAATTGTGATTGTGTGTGTGCTGGTATACATGTTGAACCCAGAGGACAAACTTGGGTGTCCTTCCTCAGACCTCAGATCATCTCTTTTTTTCTTCTTCTTCTAGATAATAAGGCCTTTCACTGGCCTGGAACTGCTTGCCAAGTCAGCTTGGCTGGCTGGCTAGTGAGCCCTGGGGATCTGCCTGTTTCTGCCTCGGGATTACAAGCAAGTCACCATGCTTGCCCGCCCCCATTACTGACAGAATTCTCTTCCTAACCCTCCATGATCAAACAAAAATACATTTATTTGTATTTGTGAGCATGCCATGTGGAGATCAGCATAACTTGTGGGTTCTCTCCAGGTCACCAGGCTTAGTGGCAAAAGTACTTTGACTGGATGAGACATTCCATAGCCCTTTATGGGTTAACTTTAATTAAAGACAACAACAAAAGACAACTCTGCAAAACCAAACACACAAAAAACTCCGGCTGGTGTTAAATACAGCCATCTTTGAACTAAACGTAAGCCGGGTGGGAAGATATTGACTAGGGGTTGGGGGTGGGGCTGACAGTTGCTATAACTAGGAAGATGTTGTGTTCATCTGAATGAAGATTCTGAAATTTTAGACTTGGAAGTGCCATGTATTTGTGGTGTCTATAGCCACGTTCTTTTGTTTCCCAGAGGACTTGAGGGCTGTGGAGGGCTCATCGATTGCCTGTCTCATAGCTAAGGTGGATGGCTGGGTTGGGACAGGGCCTCTGATCTCTGGTATGAACCTGTTTCACAGGAGGCTGCAAGGGCTTTGGTTTCTTTCTCTGTGATCCCAGTTGGTAGCAGATGTTATTCCCAAGCCCCATGCAGCTGTATAGTATGTCCACAGACAGGAGGCAGCTTGGTGACTCATACCTTGTATCTACCCAGGGGACACAGAACTATAGTCCCTGTTAGAACCTACTGGAAGTGTGTCTAGTGTGGAAGTGTTTGCATAGCATTCATGAAGTTCTATGGTAAGTCCCTAGCACCTAAAAACAAACAAACAAACAAACATTACCTAGGTGTGATGGTGCATGCCTATAATCCTAGCAACAGGCAGACAGAGACTATAGAATTAACAGTTCCAAGCCAAGAACCTGAGAAAGGGTTTAGCAGTTAAAAGCACTTGCTGCTCTGGGCAGTGGTAGCCAATGCCTTTAATCCCAGCACTTGGAAGTGGTGGGCAGATTTTTGTGTCAGCCTGGTCTATAGAATGTATTAGTTCCAGGACAGCCAGGACTATTTCACAGAGAAACCCAGTCTCAAAAAGTCAAAATAAATAAATAAAAAAGAGCACTTGTTGATCCTGTAGGGGACTTGGATTTCATTCCCAACACCCATATGGTGTCTCATAATGATCTATTACTCCATTACCATGGGATCCAATTCCTTCCTCTAACCTCTTAGGGCACCAGACACACACGCCCACATTCATTCATGCAGCAAAACAAAACTGAATACACAAAATTATTATAAAAAAAGCAGTTCAAGGTCAGCTTGGGCTATTTGGTGAGACTAAATAAATAAGTGAATAAGTAAATAAACAGATAAGAAAAAGATGATCCCCCCCCCCAAAAAAA